GAAGAAGTCTGAATCCACCATATTTGATAATACATCTCAATTGGTTTGGTATAAAGAGCTCTGACTCATACCCAAAAAAGTTACTCATGTGGCTTCAAGTTTAACAGTAAAGGATACCAAATTCTTCCAGTTAATAGCCTTTAGGAGCCAGATTATACTATTCTTCCTGAGGCTGTGGTAGCATTTTACCCACAAGTAGATTCTTTGAAAAGACTGGATCTACTCCAAAGAAGGGACCTGATCAAAGAACAAGGTTAATTCAGCCTGCCCTAGAGTTATATTTTTATAAGAAATATGTGACCTCTGTACAAATTAATATAAAACCTGCAGAATTTGAATAGGTGAACTCTGATTTTATGCTGACATACATGGCCAAATTTTCAGATAAATCAGCTTAATTAAACCTGTCAAATTTGAGCAGAGAAGAAATTGTGTATGCAAGCAGAAATAGATGCATACAGTTTCACTTTTCTGCATGCAAAAATACAGGATGATGCATGCACACACTTACGGTTTGGCACAATTTACAGGGATCTCTTGGAAATGTAATCCATGGTCTTAAAAATAAGTAGTCTGATCAAGTGCTACACTATTATACATCTACAGTGTTTTAGAGCCACACTTCACAAAAGGAAAATTAAGTTTCCTGCAGGGTTTTCTATATTTCATCATTCAGTTAATGCATGCCCCATTTGAAAGACTGGAATTGATCTTAGAGAATTGAAATCTGGGTTCAATTCACCTTTTGTTTTCTCTCTTCGGTATTTTTGATGGATACTGTTCATTTTATACTGGTATAAAAATTATTCCAGTCGTCAGAGTGTGCCTTCTGTGCATGTTCAATGCTTGCTTACAGATTTATCCCAAATCCATAGCTAACATGCAAAAGTAACTTTTACAATCCATATCTTCCAAAATGGAAATTAAGCCCCTGCTGCTTTGGTTTTTTAGATGTTGGTTGTTTGGTTTTTACTGGAGCTGGTGCATGCACATTCTTGGCTTGTCTGTAAAGCAGTGAAACTGATGATATTGTACAGACTAAAGTGAGAATAAAGCACCTGATGCAAGATTGCACTGATAAACACAAGGCTAAAAATTCACTTTGAAATTTCTTTATTCACTGGTTGCTAGCCAAATTTATAACAGGGCTTTTGATTAAAACTTCTCAGGCAACATCTATGTTATCAGGAGATGGAAAAAGCTACATGTCTGTGCTTTGAAGCAATGTTTGTCTATTTGGGGAACATAATTCCAGTGTTGTGAAAGATCCTGACGAGGCCAAGCTGGCTTGCGTTTTGAGTTTGGGTTGGCATGAGCAAGCTACTCTGCAAACACTCACGAATCAAGTTGAATATGTTGTCCAAACACTTTTGTTATATCGGGCACTTGGTTGAGGAAATTAGGAAGGTTATTTAACACTTGATAAAATGACACAGCCTCTCGTAACATAGAGTCTGATCCTCAACCTCTTACTGGGGCCGAGGAGCCTCTTGTCCCAGGAGACTGCTTGGGACTTAAACGGGGTCAGTTATAGGATGAGAGAACCCAAGGTACACTGGGCCCCAGGAGTCTGCTTAGGACTTAAACAGGGCCACTTGTAGGATGAGAGAACCCAAGGTACACTGGGTATTCTTCTCAGAGAGAGCTGCTACAGTCCACCTGTGTCTCATCATGGGGCTGCTTTACAGGGGACAATTGGCCTATGTAAAGAGCCACAGTGGGCATGTCTACACTGCAGTGAGACAGCAGTGGTGAGCCTGTACCAGATGGTTCAGGGACTGGAGACTCAGGCTGTGTGGCTGTTGCACTGCAGTGTAGATATTCCAGACCAGGCTGCAACCCAAGTTCTGGGATCCTCACACCTCCCAGGCACCTAGAGCCTGAGTTTGAGTGTACACACAGCAGTTAGACAATCCCTCAGCCTATGGCCCATGACCAGCTGCAACATGCCTAGGAGAAGCAGGGCTGCCATGTAACGTTTCCCACCCCATCCCTATTCAAGATGGAGTCCTCCAGTTTCTCCTTGGGGGAAAAATGTTTTCTGGCTCTCCCGTTGTTTTTACTAGTCATTGTAATCGCTGTCTTGGCGACACTATTTAGCTTCCTGATGAATTCTTCCTGTTTACCTTCCAGAACTTAAAGTTCCTTTTGAAGGTTTAGCCACACAATAGCTGTATCTCAGACAACTTTAATATCATATTACCAAAAATAAGCATCACTCCTCTAAAGGCCGCCTGCCCTTTGTTCTCTCCTCACTAGCACTCGTTAGCATGTTAATCGCTTTGGCAGGAGCTGCCTGTTTTTAAAGCGACAGCCATTCTGAACATTAAGAATTAACTGAAATTTGACTGGAGTTCAATTTACATCTCCAAAAAAGCCTATGCTAAAGTGGGCATGCCAAGAACTCAAAAGTTAAGAATTGCCAGAATGTATTTAATTCGGACGCTACATGCATGTACACTATGATACAGTCTGTAGCTAGATCGTCCCATTCTATCCTTTCCAAAGGATTAACATGCAAATTGAGCTTTTTCACGGGCATATCATTTGTCCAAATTTGGGTGCATTTTTATGTGCAAAAAGCCCATCTCTGAAAACTGGAGGAGGCCTGGCCAAGACGGATTTAAAATCTGGTGGGGTTGACAGTGCTGCATTGTAGAACACTGAATCTAGCTCTTTTTGGTAAAACTAGTTTAGCTGAAAAAATGAGGTGTACGGATTCTTTCGAAAAAGTTTTTTTTTTTAAAGAACCCCATCTAGACTGTGGTTTCTTTTCTGAAAAACCCTTTTTCGAAAAAGCACTCTCCTGTGATTATGCAAATGAAGCACAAGATTTGTAAATCTGCGCTTCATTTGAATTTTCTATTGGCCTCATTTACATTCTTTTTTCGGAAGAAGAATGTGGTTTAGACATACCATCAGGGATAAATTAGAGCTAAATAGCAGCACAGAACACTGAGCGCCAGGACTGGGGCTGTAAACAAACTTTGTGGGACTGCAAGAAACTTGGTCATACCCACAATAATTGGACACCCAGCTACCTAAAATCATGCTGGACCACAGATGTTGTCAGACAAGAGAGTGCTGGACTAGCAAGTTTCAACCTGTAATAGCTTTACTTAATAGGAACAGCTTTAGATTTGTTACTCCAAATTATAAACAATACAAACAGAGAAGTTAGAAGAATACATACATTGGGAAAGGTTCGCTTAAGTCTTTTGTAGTAAGTACAAATATAATATTAACAACAACAAATGCTTTTGAGTTCAAGACAAAATATCTAAAAAAAAGAAAATATGTGTTATAAAATAACAAAAGCGGGCACTGGGCGAAACCCCCACCAGTATACTCCAGGATCTGTAAAACAGTGTTTTATAAGAGACAGCACATTTTATTCCTATGTGTTCAGTAAGTGGGCATTTTAAGATGTTATGTTAATTATGGACCCATGGAAAAAAGAAACAGATTGAAATTTGATCATTCTGTATGAAGTCAGCAGGGGTGTAATTAGCAAAGATAAGATAATTGGATGGGAGTTAAGTTTCTAAGTACTTTTGTGTATCCCACATAAAAGCTTAGACCGTTTTCTTGGATTTCAAGAAAATCTTTTTCCTGTATACAGGAAGTCCCCGGGTTACGTACAAGATAGGGACTGTAGGACATATGAGTATCTTTTCATGTATACAGGAAGTCCCCGGGTTACGTACAAGATAGGGACTGTAGGTTTGTTCTTAAGTTGAATTTGTATATAAGTCGGAACTGGTACATATTGTAGGGGAAACTCTAGCCAAACATTTCTCCAGAGCTCAGTTTTATTCTCCCACCCCTCACTTCCCTCAGTCCTTTATTCTCAAGCTGAGGTGTCTACTGAGAAAAGCCGTTCCGCATCTCCCTGGTTTGCTGGAGGGAGGGAGAGGGGGGAACTAGCTTCGTGTTTCCCTGGTCTGCTGGGGGGAAGCAGCTAGTGCAGGGTGCCTCCCCCACTGTCGCCTTCAAACTCCAAGTATACAGAGGTGTCAAATTGCCAGTAGTTTTCTTTTTCTTTTCTTTCCTGTTTTTTTTTAAAGGGATCCATCAAATGTAAAGAGATGATGCAAAGTAATTTATATAGGATCATATTAACTATGTACATGACTTTAATGCAAAAATGAAAGCCCATTTCTCTTGTGTGTTTTCATACAGAGATACTTATGGATGGATTCTGTGATTTTGACAGCATATTAGGTACTGAGGTAAAAGCACAAGGAAAACGCGGTTATTTTATTCATTTATATTTTTTCTAAGTATGTGCTCTCTCGTACAGGAATTACTTGAAAACCAGCCTTCTGCTAAAAAGCAATTTTACTGGAGGAGGTTTCAGATTTGTTAGCCAACCTTTTGATTATTTGATTTTAATTGTATTTATTTATTTAGTAAGGTTAAACTACCGGGGCTCTCAAACATTTTGTTCCTATTGACCGGCTGGGAAGGGAACCGGGCTGGCTGGGAGGATGTGGTGGTGGGGGAACTGGCTGGTGGGAAGCAGGGCTGGTGGGGAAAGGTTCTTAAGTTGAATTTGTATGTAAGTCGGAACTGGTACATATTGTAGGGGAAACTCTAGCCAAACATTTCTCCAGAGCTCAGTTTTATTCTCCCACACCTCACTTCCCTCAGTCCTTTATTCTCAAGCTGAGGTGTCTGCTGAGAAAAGCCGCGGAGGACGCGGGCGGTGGGACCGCGGCGCGTCTCGTCTCGGCGGTCTGCTGGGTGGGGGGGCGCAGCTAGTGTGGGGTTGCCTCACCCCATTTGTAAGTAGGGATCCAATGTAAGTCGGATCCATGTAACCCGGGGACTGCCTGTACTCAGAGAAACAATGTACAAAACAAATTCTTCTGTGAATTTTTCATATCTGGCACAAGCCAGCCAATTAGAAAAGTAAGGAAGGTCATCTGATGTTCCTAGTTCAATTGATCATATTTTTAGCTAGGAAAACGTCTATACATTGCAATTACTCGGTAGGATTGTAAGTTTATTTTGTTTGTTTGGCAGATGGACAATATGACACTGAACTGTAGCTTTATTCTGTCACTTACTCAGTTCCTTCCTAAAATATGGTCTCAAAACTTCTGTGCCATGGAACAGCCAGTTGTACAGTGCCACAGAGGGGTAGCTATATCGGTCTGCAAAAACCAGGGAGGAGTCTAAGGTGCCGCAGAACTCCTCATTGTCTGAACAATGCCAGTTCATCGTCTTTGCAGCGAATGGCTATTTGAATAGACAGATAAAAATATATTGAAAACATTCTTCTGAGAAAATAAAGGATGGAAACCTCTTCAGATTTCAAGGAGGTCCAATCTAGGGATGTGAAAGGTTAACTGATAAGCCTCACCCTTAATGGAAAGGCTTACCGGTACTGGTTAACTGGTAGGGGTTGGGGCAGCTGCCCACTTGCCCCAGGCAGGGGGCAGCTCCAGCCCTAGGGGGCCCACTGGTCCTCACCCCCTCTCCTGCCACAGGTTACACACTGGCTCCCTGGGAGCAGGTCTGAAAGGGGCTGTTAGCCCCACTCCTGAGAAGCCGGTTGTAGAGCCCATGGTAAATACATAAGCTTAGAGCCTGCTGTGCATATAACTGCTTTGATTTTGCAGTTACACAGTTATATTTTTTAATGCATTTTTACATCCTTAGTACAATCCTGTCCTTGTAAAAGCTCCACACATCCTGTGTGGTGGAGTAACACTTGCAGGCAGGCAATGTTGGCAATTGTCATTCCACCTGCAAGTGGCATGTGAAGGCACCAAGGCCCAAATTCCATATGTGCTGAAATTAATCCCATTTCAGGAAAGCGCCTGGTGACGTCCCAGCGAAGTTAATGGGATCTAAGTGCAAAGAGGTTTTAAGTTAAGCACCTTCTTAAGTGCTTTGCTGAATTATGGGCCCACAGTGCAAAGTTTTGGAGGAGCAAGTTAATTCATCTTTCAGTGAGATTCCAGAATGACCCAATGCTTTATGCAGTAGAATTCTCTCTGTGTAATTTCCTGCCAAAAGGAGGAGAGCATAAAATGTAGCTCTACAAATACACGAATAAAAATAATTGTTTCCCCTATGTATTTAGAAGATTCATAAAATAATAATTAAGGAAATTATGCATTCATATTTCTAGTGGCTGAATGTAAATTTAAATCTTTCGATATTCACCCACGAGTCATTTAGATCCTTATATGCTGCTTATCTTTATGCTTTTAACTTTGTCTTTTAAAATGTGCTTATCTACATATTCTGAGTGCACATGCAGTAAAGTAGGTACAGATTGTACAAAACCAACTAATAAGAAATTCTGAACTCCACCGAATTAAGTCACTGATATGACTAACCATCGTCCTCAATGAACTGAGTGAGTTTAGGAGATAAGAAATAGGAGAAACAGGTTAGTTAAAAGATGTCAACTATAGATTTTAAGAGAAAAAGAAATGAAAATAAGTTTACTTCTATCAAGTGGCATCATCTGTTCTCTGTTGCTGTGGCAGACAAGGTACTATGTCCATGATAATTTCTGCTGAGCTATTTCACTAGAAACTTATAAATTCCAAGACGGGAAAGTAACATTTGTCTGGTGATAATATGCCATTTTCCTGTGTTCACATTGGATTGCTGTATATAATTATGAATTCACCTGAACTCTTCTCCTCCATTATATCTAGACATGGAGAGCCAATCCTTAGCTGGGCAAATTGGAGTAATTCCATTGACGTCAATAGAGCAGTGCAAATTTACATCAGCTGGAGATCTCGCTCAATGAGTTTTCCATTTTATTCATCTAAGTATATGTAACTTATATTAGGTCTTCCTTACTCCTGCCAAAAAGGTTTGTGACTGTAGCTCCAACATATGGAAAACATCAGTTGAAACTATGGCAGGATCAGACACATAAGGTAGATATAAACTATTGTTTAATGAATACTCCCTAAGCTATCTTTTAGTAACTTTAGATTTGATAGATAATTTCTCTGGGGGGAGGAAGGAAGCATTCTGTTCATATATTATTTTTTTATAGTATCATATCAATAATTCATAATTATATGGAATGGGTAAAATAAGATGATTTTTCTCCAGATGGGATAATGAGATTCTTGTTTGTTACATTATGAATTTCTTAAATGACTCATTAAAGATCCAAACACCAAAGCACTTTTATTACCAAGGTCTAGATCCCTGTGAGGGAAGAGTGGTGAAATATGCAGGAATTTGCTTTCCAATGCAGTATTTTTTTAAATCTGCTTATAAATAATTCTCCGGCATATTAGTCCAAATATATATATGTCCATAATCAAGGAAGCATGTAGAAAGGGATATGTTGGATGCTGCTTCTGTCTTTCACTTCCTTGATCTCGTTGTTATAAAATAGATCATCAGGGATGCTGGAAAAAAAATCCTGAAATATTTAGCTTTTAAAGTGACATCATCAGTGTATTCACACTTTGATCTGAAAGATTTTTACCTCCTCCTGTTACAAGTTACACCTAAGATTACTCTAACTGAAAGAGATTAGGGAATATTTTTTCCCTATTTTAGAGTTTTTAGAGCCCGTTTGATGGTCCTGTGTATGTAATCAATGTCCCCTTTGTTTATTGTAGTGACTTAGTCAGTTTTTCTTATTTGCCTGGATCTATTAGGAGAGAGGGGAAAAAATATATATATATAAAAAAAGAAAATGTGATTGGACAACACACAAAAATTGTCAGGGGAATGGGAATGTGCAGCACTGGAGATTGTATCTCTTTTTTTAAACCAATTACGGGTATGTTTTCACTGCAGAGTTAACGTGAGTGATTGGGACTTGGTTCTGAGTGGTTGGGATATGAGCAACTCCACTGTAAAAGCCATATCTGAATTCTTGTGTCTTCACTGATGTTGAGCTCACCAGTGTTGCTAGGACCAATGTAACCTGAGGCTCTCCATCAGGGATGGGCAAACACCATCCTGTGGGCCAGATCGCATCTGCCAGGGTTAGCCCCTAAAGAGCCCCTACACTGATTTATTTACCCGCGTCTTCACGGGTATGGGGAATTGCAGCTCCCATTGGCCGAAGAGCACTGTTGCAGGCCAGTGGATACTGCCATTGCCCGTACCTGAGGAGGTGCTGGTAAATATAGTGGCAGCGGCCCACTCTGGTGAACCACCACCATTTTATTGCCCACCCCTACCCTAAATGATTCCCTCTGATTCATGGGAGAATTTGTTTGTCCTTCTGAGCACATGAGGGAACTGGACGACTATCAGCCCTTCTCTGGCCTAGCCTGTGTTCACAAGCAGCTGGTGAATATATTTTTTGGTGGTATGGCAGGGTTTGAGAGAAAACTGTCAGGCCCTACTCACTCATTTCCCTCATGGGGTGGTGGGGGTATCTGTATGCTGTCCTGGTGTGGAAGGGGGAGGGCCCCCTGGTGGTGGAGAATTGGAGAGTTGCTGTCCTATTGGTTCTCGCAGCTTTGCAATGGGGAGCTCTTTGAAATGGGGGTGGATGGGGCTATTTGGCTACTGTAAGAAGACAAGGAGGAGGATGGTAGGAGAAGAGGGAAGGTCACCAACCCTGCAGAACACTCCAAAGTGCAGATGGGCTGCTAACGTCAGGGCTCAAGGGCTGAGTGGCCTTATCGAGGGGGGGTGGTCCTGGGTGAGCCAAAGCGGGTTGGAGCAAGTTGAAGGGAAAGGCGAGTTGGTTCATCCAGGAGCTTGGGGTGTTTGGGCTGATCTGCCGAGTAGGTGGACTGGGGAGTTGGGGGGGTAGGAGCAGAAGGTCCTGGGGTGAGTAATGGGGCAGGGATGCAGAGGGAGGCTGGGGGAGGGATGTGGTTTGAGAATGGGCAGTAGAGGTGGTGTTAAGAATGGAGTGTACTGGGGAATAACGTTGGGCGAATGGAGAAGATTGGCAGGCAAGGGCGTGTGGATCTGGGGAGAGGGTTGGGAGAATTTTGGCCGGGTGATGTTTTAGGGGAGGGTTGTGCAAGGAGATGGGAATTAGTGAGATGTGACGGGGAGGGAGGGAGCTGTGTCAGGAGAAGTTTTGGTGGGAGTTGGGTATATTTTGGGGGAGATGGGAGGAGACTGGGGTATGTTTGTTTGGAGAGTGGGTGACCAAGGGGTTGGATGGGTTTAAGCAGGGACTGGGTGGGGAGTTGGGGGGTTGGATGGGAGTGACAGGTTGATGGTCTCAGGGGGTGAGGTTATTTGGGGGACTCTGGGACGGGCAGGTTGGGGACTGTGGTGAGGGATTATCTGAGGAGCTGTGGAAGAGGTGGGAAAAGGGCCTGAGGGCACAGAGAGCTGTGTGGTGGTGCAGATAGACTCATCTACCTCCTGCCTCCGTGGCTCCTTTTTCCTCTCCCCTCTGCTCGCTCCTTCCCTTGCTGGCCCCACCTCTGCTCAGAGGCGCCTGGGAGAAACTGACTTGTTTCTGCCTCCCCAGGGGTGGGACCGGCTTGCTGGGTGAAAGCACACTTGGGTTTTAACCCATCCTCTGAGTTGTGTCTGTTAGCCCGGGCTGAAAGCACCATGGCACACAGGTGACAGAGTTTTGTGCGTGGAAGGGAGGGGAGTTAGGGTCAATGCCTGAACAGGGGCCTGAGTTAAGTTTACAGGTTCCCTCTAACAATGTGTTTAGAAGTTGCAGGGTTATATAGTAAAGACTTGCCTTTGGTTTGTGTTTCACTTTTCTGATAGGAGAAAAATTCGTTAACGTAATAATAGAGACAATTAGCAGGCCTGTGGCACTTTAGGGACCAACAAATATATTATATCATGAGCTTCTGTGGGTAAAAGCCACTTCATCAGATAAGTGCTAACAATAATGAGTAATAATAGCAAATCAGCATCCAAAGCACCAGTTGTTAAGGGTTATTGCAGTTGTTTTCTGTTGCAGGATGTTCTCTGTTGTGCTACTTGCTTATGCCACAAGTAGGGTAGAGATAAGCCAGAACAGGAACGCTTAATAGAAAGAGTTTGGAATACCTGGAGGACAGAGTTTCAGATCCTCATAGTCTTCACTCCAGGTTGACTCACTTGCAAGCTCTGATACAGCCCACATCTTCACCCTGAGAAGGCAGAAATCTTTCTAGAATAACTGATTCTGTGGGTTTCTTCTATTCGGGGTTGGGATTCTGAGAGTGCAGTTTTTTGGAACCGTTTAAATCCCCACCACGGCCCTGAAGTCAAGCCTCCATTCTATCATCTTTGCTGTGATTATCACAAAAGGCCAGTTTATAGCTCTGAAGCAATTGGCTATGAAGGAGACTGGGTCATGCTGCAGTGGGAGCTTCCAATGGGAATTTTGGCAGGCATATGGCTTCTTCCCTCCCCCATACATCTACCTATTTCTGGGTAGCTAGTGTGCGGGCTGCACGCTGTAAAAAACACATGTACTCCCCCGTGAACTTGTTCTCAGCCTTTGTACAGTGCCTTAAAGAATTCTGATGCCTTCCCCCGCTTGAGTAGCCATACAAATCTGGTCCTCTAAGTTGGACCTGGGTTTCTGTGTTAAGCTTTAGTCTTGTCACAACTCCATAAACGATGTATTTAGACAGAGAACAGATCTAAGGGTCTAATCCCCTACTCTTGCTAACTTAAAAGGCACGAAGGAAATATTATAAATATAAAATCATAGATAACACATTGACTATTAATCTGCTTATTGAAGATTCTAGGCACCCTGCCATCAATTAAACATACAGACTATAACCCCATCTGCATAAAAGAACCAATCCGGAGGGGGAAAAAAAACTCACACGCTGCAGAGCAAAGTCCCCTGTAAAAACCCCACACTCCTACCCACTGGAGTCCTTTTCAACACATAAAAGGCCCCATTAAAACAGAACAAGTGTCATATAGAATAAGCCTCGATCTTGTCGTCCATCCTTGGACAGATCTCCCATTGCCAGCAAGGGTCGTTCTGCATGATGAAGGATGGCAGTATTGGCTCCTAACATGGGCATATCATACTTTGCAGCCAGCAGAAAGCTCTGCACTGTCTCGTTCAGGTCCGTGAGGGGATTAGGTTGACAGCCTGCGCTCCATCTATCCACTATTTAGGGCACTCTGGAAATAATACACTCCTCCATTTACTTCAGAAGTGCAGAGGTAATGCTGATCCACATCAGATTTCGCTGGGTTATTTTTAGTTACGATCACAGACAGGTTGCAGGCAATACACAAAAATCACAGGAACCCTGGTCTGTCTGTCTGACTTTTTTCTAAAAATAATGGGAGGGAGATGGTGGGTGGAGGTTAGGAATGATACCTGGATCCTCTTGGGGGAACAGACAGCCCCAGCTCCAGACCGCGCCAAAGCTCTGAGGTGGGTGCACACAGCAGCAGCTCCGGCCGCAACAAAAGCCAGGGAGGATGGAGGGGGATGTGCAGTCCTAACTCTAGTCAAAGCCCTGGGCAGTGGAGGGGGAGAGGAGAGGTGCGCAGCCTTGTTCCTGCTGCTGACAGCTGAGCCCAAAGTCTCAGAAGTTGGGTACAGTCATGGAATCTGTAACTTCCCTGAGCTCTGTGACTAAATCACATTGCTAACGATCTCCTGAGAGCATGATCCAATGGCGGGAAGCACCCCACAAAAATATGTCATGTGGGGTGGCATTTAATCCACATCTTGAGGTGCACCGAAGCTGAAAATTGCCAGGTTGGTCTCTGATGCTTGTGAATAAAGTAGCCCGATGAAAACTAGTTGCAAAGTGCTTTGTATCTTCTTTTGAAACAGGTCCTTCTCCAATTCTTTTCTTGGATTCTGGTCCTGTCTCCCTCAGCCCTGCCATTACTACTCATTGGTCATGACTAGAGAACAGCTCCAGTAGAACCAAACGAATCTGATTGGTATATCTGTAGTGTCTGTGTCTGTGCCAACTCCCACTGCTAATAGCGGAGGGGAGGAAGGGAGGGAGGGAAGAAGCTGTTTGGATGCAATTTCTAGCTGCAAAACTACTCACTGTGAGCCATGGGTGAGGAAATAGCTTCTGCTGTGTGCAGACTCCCAGCTGAGAAGGAAGCAAAACTTTCTCTCTTTGTGAGATCACAGTGGTGTGAGTCAGCAGAGCAGCGCAGAATTGAGGATTCCAAAGAAACCTGAGACATGTTCATTGCAAGATTTACTGACAGAAGACAACTACGTAGCTTACCCAGGCTTCTCAATCCTGTTGCCACTTACGCCCTGCTTGGATCCACCTGTGAAGCATTCTCCCATTATCTTGTATGTGGAGCCCAATCTGCCAGGCATGTTTTGAGCAGTTTCCCTGTCTGTGCAGTGAAAGCAGTGGGAATTCATCAGCTTTGTATTCGGTCTAACACAAGCTGATTCCTCAGGTGTAATTAACATTAAATTACGACAGGCTGAACTTCTCTAGTTCGGCACTCTCTGGTCTGGCATGATTTTAGTTAGCCATATGTCCACTTATCATGGATGTGCCCAAATTTTCTGCAGCCTCATAAAGTTTGTTTTCAGCTACCAGTCCTGGCTCTCAGTGTTCGGTTTAGCTCTAATTTACCCCTAAATGTTTTCTAAGAGCCAAAACACAACAAATGGTCCTGCAGCATCATAGAGACTAACAACATATATAGAGCAGTGGTTCCCAAACTTTTCAGCATCACGCCCCCTTTTTGATTTTTGAGAAATCTTCACGCACACACACACCCCCATAGCAGCAAAACTTGTTGAGCAAAAAAAAAGGAACTGACTGAAAAACAAAAATAGCAGCAAATTTAGGGGAGGAGGGTTAAAGGGCGGATCTGAGTCACCTTGCGCCCCCTCTGGAATTTTGCATTTAGGGGAGGAGGGTTAAAGGGCAGATGAGTCACCTTGCGCCCCCTCTGGAATTTTGGCACGCCCCCCAGTTTGGGAACCCATGATGTAGAGGGTATCATGAGCTTTCATGAGCACAATCCACTTCTTCAGGTGAATGGAGTTAAGGGGTCCAGGTTGCAAAATAAATAACGGAGGAAGAGAAGCAAAAAAATGGGAAAAAATGTCAGAGTTTCCATGCTAAATGAAGCTGATAGAGTGGGTTCTAAGTACTTTTACGTAACCAGTGTTTGGCTTTTCATGTCATTAGTATGTGGAATGTAACAGGTAATCCGGTTAAGGTCTTTGTTTAAACCTCTATGGAAGGTATCACACTTGTAAATGAAATTAACATCCGCAGCTTCCCTTTCAAGTTGGTTTTTGAAATGGGCTTATAATAATATGGTAACTGAGATCCATTAATGAACTGGGCTGACAAAGGGGGCCCTGTAGTCATCGTGAACAGAACAGATTATGAACAGGAGGCTGCCAGCCAACTCACCAAAACCAATGGCCTGGTCCATGCCGCTTCCCACGGCTCCCTTTGGCTGCAAACGGTGAAATGGAGCCTATAAGAACCACGAAGCTCCATGGCTGTGGTGCTGATAAACCGGCGCAGCCAGTTAACAGATTTCTCAAAGTGGTTTTGCGGACCACTTTGAGACACACTGCACTATAGTGATACTGGAATAAAGGAAGTCCCCAACGTACGAACAGATTGGGGTCCAAAAGTTTGTGTGTAAGTCGGTTGTTTGGAACTCGGAACACATTTACAGGCAGTCCCCGAATTACGCAGATCCGACTTACGTCGGATCCGCACTTACAAACGGGGCTTTTCTCGCCCCAGAGCTCACAGGCGGCGGGTCGCCACCCGTGTCCTCCGGGGCGAGAAAAGCTTCTCCTGGTCTCCCTGGTCTGCTGGGGGGGTCCAGCAAAGCCTGCAGACCAGGGAGACGGGGAGCAAAGCCTTGGAGCACGCCTGCAGCGGGACAGCCCGGGCGCGCTTGGGCTGTCCCGCTGTGGGCGTGCTCCGCGGCTTTGCTCCTGTCCCCTTGGTCTGCTGGGTGGGGGGGGTGCAGCTAGTGCCCCCCCCAGCAGACCAGGCTTTTCTTGCCTACCCCTGGGGTAGAGCAACTGGCGTCCAGATTCAGCCGCGGTTGAAACTGATCAGTTTCAGCAGCAGCTGATGCCAGTTCCGACTTACATACAGATTCAACTTAAGAACAAACCTACAGTCCCTATCTTGTATGTAACCCGGGGACTGCCTGTAGTGTAGATGCTTGCTGCAGTGACAGCAAGGAGTTCTTCCATCTTTGTAATAAATCTAACTCTCTGAGGGCACATCTACACTCACTGCGCCAGGGATCGATGTTCTGACGTTTGATTTAGTATGTTCAATTTAAACCCGTAAATTAAACTCAGAGGGCAAATCCAGTTTTCCATGCTAGAGTAAGCTGACTCTAGCTATGTATCCTACATATTCCACATATTTGGAGTTGTATATACCTTAATCTGAACTTCCAGGTGTAGTGTAGACCTGGCCTGAAAGAGAGGGACTAGGTTGTTGGAGGAATTCTTCCATGGACCTAGTGCTGTCTAGACTGCAGCTTAGGTCGTCTTAACTGTATCTCTCACAGATGTAAATTTTTCACACCTTTGAGGGACTTAGTGGGTCAACCTAACTTTCACAAAAGCCTATTTAATCCACAGTGTAGCTAAAATACTGTGTATTTGCAATGACATGTAGTAGAAATAGTTTTTTATTCAACCTTGCAGGAGGCATAAGGGATTTGTCGAAAAAGGCGTTCTTTCTCGACAGATCCCCCTCTAGACTGCATCTTTTTGTGGACAAAGTTCTGAGTTGGCAAAAACGGCAGCCATTTTTATGCAAATTAGGCAGGGGATATTTAAATCCCCGCTTCATTTGCAATGTCGACCTGCCTAATCTGCATCCCTCTGCCAACAGAGGGATGCAGTCTAGACATAGCCTGAGAGTTTGAATCCAGGCTGATGTCTGAGTGCAATAGCCTTGCCTGGTTGGCATGTACAGCTGGTCCCCAAGTTGCCAACGGCTGACTTATGACCGTTCGCAGTTATGACCAAAGCTGTCGTAAATGGGAGACCCCGAGTTATGAATGCAATCCACGCTTACGAACAGCGCGATCACGTGTAACTCAATGGGATCCGACGAACAGCGTGATCACGTGTAACTCAATGGGATCCGACTTACGAACGAACCGAGTTATGACCAATTGCTTGGTCCGTACCTGGTTAGTAAGTCGGAGAGAGGCTGTACTTCACTCAGCAATACAGTTCAGTTCTTGGTATCACTGGTGGAAAAGATAATTGGTTCTACAGGTAGGACTTCCCTGGTCTGGCACCCTCGGGACCTGACTGATCCTGGAGGATGGATTTTGCTGGACATGGGAAGTCTTCCTGTCCCCCCCTGCCACCGCCCTCTTCCAGCACTGGCTTTGCTATCAGCCAGAGGTTTGCTCCCCCGCCTGCTGCTGCCACGTTCTTGGCCTCAGCCTTGCAGTACTCCCTGCCACCAGCTCTCCACCGGGACTCTCTGATCCTGCAACATTCATGCCAGACCACAGGTCTTGCTGGAGTCAGACCACAGAGTCCTGGTTAACAGAAGCGGCGAGGAGTCCTGTGGCACATTATAGACTAACTGAAGTGTAGGAGCATAAGCTTTCGTGGGCAAAGACCCACTTCCTCAGATACATGTAGTGGAAATTTCCAGAGGCAGGTATAAATATGCAGGCCAGAATCAGGCTGGAAATGAGGAGGTAGATCCAATCAAGGAGGATGAGGCCCACTTCTAGTAGCTGATCTGGAGGTGTGAATTCCAAGAGAGGAGAAGCTGCTTTTGTAGTTAGCAAGCCATTCACAGTCTTTGTTTAATCCTGAGTTGATTGTGTCAAACTTGAAGATGAACTGTAGCTCAGCAGTTTCTCTTTGAAGTCTGGTCCTGAAGTTTTTTTGCTGCAGGATGGCTACCTTTAGATCTGCAATTGTGTGTCCAGAAAGATTCAAATGTTCCCCTACAGGTTTTTGTACGTTGCCATTCCTAATATCAGACTAACACGGCTACCCCTCTGATACTGGTTAACAGAGGTTCAGCCTGCACTTTCAGAGCATGTGCCTAGGTTTCCATTCCCGGGAGAGGGAGCCATTCACAGACTGTGGCAGTGCCAGGGATTCCTGGCTCTACTTTTTAGCATTGGGAATTGAGTTGCAGTCAGCTCCCCTGGGCCAATTTCCAGTCTTCATCACCACGATGTCTGAAAATCCAAGCAAATGTATTTAGTTGTAATGTGCAGGTGAGGAACTGAATCCCTAGACTCACAAAGGCTGGTTTTGCTTTGTTTTGTTATCAGCAGGGAACTCTAGAATGGAAATCTCTTCCCATTCGTTCTCCTAATGGCATTTTGCATCCTGTAAACTGCAACCTACTTCCTCTGTGTTTGAAAGGGTTGTTGTTTCTATGTCTCCAGGGACATATGTTTAGAGATTGCACATCATTAAGATGGCAAATGCTTTTTCTGAGTCTACGGTGTTTCTTCTTCTCTGGCTTTCCAGTAATGAAGTCATTAGGCACTCCTCTACAAATAACTGTTTAGAAAATTAGGAACTGCAAATAAAAGGGCCCTATAGGATATCTGAAAAATACACACAAGACAGTTATGTTATATTGCAAAGACTGCCGCAGTAGAAGTTGAAGGGACACAGCATTTCACAATGCTCAGCACTTGAAAGTTCAGCTCCACAGTGGAGTCCTGAGAGGAGAATACCTGGCTTCAGTGCTTGCAAAGAACAGCCTCATGCTTTCAGGTGAATTATTACCTCAGGCTAACTGTGTGTGCACGCAATGGCGGTGCTAGATTATGGGCTATTTCTCTTCCAAGGGGCTCACCTCTTCTCAAGGTAATGACGCTGAACATAACGTTGGTGAGGCTGAATTTGTAAGCTTCCACCTGCCTCTTGTTGGACTGCCCTTCTTTTCTCTACGATGGACATCCCTCTTCTTCAACTCACTCTATGATCAGTCCTTACAGGATGTTGGAGAGTGATATGGACTTGTGCCTTCCTCCACTAAATGGTTCTGTGTACTGAAAGCAAATGGTACAGAATTCCTAAAGGTGAAGACACGAAAGAAATCCTGACATATTTCATAAAATGATATAGGGCTTTTATTTTGGGGGAGGGGTATTCATTTCTTTGGGAGGGGGCTTGTTTTGACATTTTTTAGTTCTATAATAGGGCACGTCTACACTGCAGGACTAAAGCCGAAATAAGCTACGCAATTTGAGCTATCTCAATTGCGTAGCTTAAGTCGAAATAGCTTATTTCGGCGTTTGGTGCTATCAATGCAGCAGGAAGTCTAAGGTACAGCACTCCCCTTACTCCTTATTCCCTTTAC